TAGGCAAATGCTTACCTATTTATTGGTCTAAATCTCCAGCTCATGAGATTATTTTATCCTCTCTTACCTACATCTTCTCTTTCATGATGCTGGGGTTCTTCAGCTGTCTTTTAAAAAATTAGTTGGCATATAATAATTGTAAATAGTTATTGGGTACAGTGTAGAATGATCAAATTCAAATAATTACTACATCCACTACCTCAGTTATTTTTCATTTCCTTTTGATGAGAACCCCTGAAACTCTCTGCTCTAGCTACTCTGAATTGTACATTGTTGTCAGCTATAGTCACTGCATGCACAGGATCCTGCTTTTACTGTCTGTAGCTTTGTACCAACTGTCTAGTCTCTGCCATCACTCAATTCTCTATTAACCCGTGGCTGTGTCTATGTATTAACTGCCACAAGCAAGAGTCAGCTATGGGCTTAACACTTGTGGACAGGACTTCCATCTGATAGACTATGGTCCAGTATAATAAGAGAAGAATCAGGTGTTTATTTTTCAAGGAGAATCCTAGAAACAATGCAGAGGTCTTTTTTTTCTAAAATGTACTTAACTTGTCAACTCAGAACAGACTGAATGTCAAGGGCAATGGAGAGTGTAGGGGGAAAATGTTGTGACTCACATATGTGATTTCAATGAATTCTTTATTTTGTTACTATGTCTTGTTCAGCTTTCTAGCCAGTGGGCTGCAGCCCACAGCCCAGTTCCCATGCTACATAAGCTCTAGTTCTGGCCATCGGGTGGTCTCTGGCTTCTCCTTTAGGCAAGGAGTTAGAAGGACTCAGATAGCATTAGCCAATGGGTATGGTTCCCTCTAGGTTCTCAATAACTGGGTGCTCAGAATTCCCCACCCAGGCTGCCCGAGTCTTCTGGGATCTACACAGGCCTCTCCCCTAGGTTTCACAAGGTCACAAGAGGGAGATGAATTGAGAGGCATGGGTAGAGCTTCACCATGCACACAGGTGCACAGGAGTTGCTTGTGATTTCACAGCAGAAATCAGGAGAAATAAAGGGGGCTGTGGGGTCTGGGCATGCCACTTGTTCTGCGGCCCCAGATTCCAGGAGTAACCAGGAGGGCTTGTTGGCCTTGATCCTACTCATGTGTGACACTTGTACTTTCCACATCTTTCTGGGACAAGGGAAGAAGAGGTTTTTATCTCTGTATCACTCAGTTTTCTCTAAATTTCATGCATTCTCAAACAGGACCACATAGAGGTTCAGCCTCCATAATCCCAGGCTCCTAAATTTGAATCTTTTTGAAAGTTGACTTGATCCAATAAGTAAAAATTTCTGCACCAAGAAACTTTGTTTTATGCACAAAACTATTTAAAATGTACTTTAATAGCAAAACTGAAGTCCCTTAAGACTACACATATAGTGCATATTTGAGAAATGAATTAATTTTATACTTAGAATTGGGTCCCATCCCCAAGACATGTCATTATATATCCAGCTGTTCCAAAATTTGAAAATATTTCACATTGCAAACTTTTTGGTCACAAGCATTTTGAATAAGATATAGTTAACCTGTGTAAGAATCACCTGAATTTATTTCATACATATATATTGCTAACCTTACCAACAGGATCTACTTCAGCAGTTCTGACAAGAAACTCATGCATTTGCTTTTCTAATAATTTCTGGGAAGTTGTTGTTGATCTGTAAGACTACAACAAAGTATCATTGTTGAAGAAGTCTCCTATGTTCTTCTTTGGTAATTAAAATTCCACATCTATTCCCAAGCCCAAAATTCTCTTAAATGCCTTTAAATTTTGTATTTGTGATGTTCTCCTTATTGTTGTGTTTTGTAGCTTTAAAAGTTTTATTTACTGTCATTGCAGTGGCTTCTCTAGAGCAAGAAAAGATAAATATGTATAATCAGTTATATTTTTGCAAAAGTTTTATAGATGTTGAAATTGGAATTTAACTAGGTAATTTATATTTAACTGAAATTAACTTACATGACCTGCCTTTTCTTTCTGCTGGTGACAGATAAATGGAGTGTTGCAGTATTATCATAAAATAATAGTTTTGAATCTAAGACTCCATTTGACCTCTACTTGACCTAATGCACATGGATCTTACTTTCTCCTAACAGCTTCATCTGTAAAATGTCAATATCATAATTATATTTGATTTTCATTTAATAGGAATATTTTGAGGTTAAATGAGAAATTATTTATGAGACATTTCGATGACCTGCATTGCAGTAATTAAGCTCCATATTTATGAAGATCTTGGCTCTGAGTTGCCTCAGACCCAACAGAGACATTGTCTAATTCACCATGCCCTGCCACACGGGAAAGGAGTACACAGGGTAATTGGGAGAGAGTAAGCTCTAAAGTCAGATAAACCTCAGTTTAAATTTGATCTGAGCTACTAGTTATGTGACCTTAAGCGTATTTCCTCTTCTGCAGAAAATGGCATCCTACAAAGGTCTAGCAACTCTATTTAAAAGTACATGCCAGTTGATAAGAAAAACAACAGGATCCTAAAAATTGCATAAAATTCAGCACTTTGCAAAATGATAAAATGTTGCTGATAAATTAACATGTGAAAAGTGTTTAACCTTGCCATTCATTTTTAAAATACAGAAATTAAAACAAGAATTTTTAATTTATTAATTAGAAATTATTTATTTAAATGACAGCACATATTACTACCTGAAAAACATCTACTGTCTATAACCTTGTAACATTAGTACAATAGATGGTACTTCTCTAAGCTACTATGTATGTATCAGGATACTCAAAAATGCTCATATCTATTCATAGAGTAATTGTGTGTGCTACCTCTTATGAAAAATATTCTATACAAAAAAGTGTACAGTGGGCCTGCCCCTTAGCTCAGCTCTTTAAGTGCCTGCTTCAACGAAGCGGTCAGGCTTAGGTTGCTGTGGTTCGATCCCCAGAACTCAAGCCAACCAAACCTGTCCTGAAGGCATTTGGAGAAAAAAAAAAAAAAAAAAAAGAAAAAGTGTACAAAAGTGTAGCTCTATAGTTTATGATTTACTTTGAAATACTCAATAAAGACATCATGAAGGTGCATGTTCTTTTTTTTTTTTTTTTAACCTCTTATTCTCCTCTGCTTAATGTTTGCCTATTTGGCGGGTTCTTTCCATTCTCATTCATGGGACTGTGATCTACTTGCTCCCTCTCTAGAACATCATTTAGTAGTCTGTGTAGGCTTGGCTTTGTCATCATGAAATGCTTTAGTTGTTCTTTGTCATGAAAATATTTCACTTCTCCATTATATTTGAAAGAGAGTTTTACAGGATATATCAGTCTGAGTTGGAATTTGTTGTCTTGCAAGACTTGAAGTACTTTGCTCCATGCTCTTCTTGACTTGATGGTTTGTGAAGAAAAATCTGCCATTATTCTGATGGGTTTTCCTTTAAATGTGATCTGTTTCTTTTCTTTAGCGGCTTTTAGTATACTGTTCCTGTGCTGAATTTCTGGGATCTTGATTATTATGTGTTTGGGTGTGGTTTTCATTGGATTGATATTATTAGGAGTTCTATATGCTTCGGTTACAGGAATGTCAGATTGTTGCCCCCTATTTGGGAAGTTTTTTGCTATTACTTCTGCAAATATTCTTTTTATATTATTTGTATTGACTCCTTTCTTCTCATTGATGCCTATTAGTATCACATTATTCATCTTCGCATCGCCTTGCAGGTATTGAATTATTTTTTCCTGCACCCTAGTTGTTTTAAAGAGATCTTTTCTTACTTTTTCACTAGCTGCAATGGTGTCTTTCAGGTCAGAAAGTCTATTTTCACTTTCACGCAAACGGTTTTGCCAGCTTGTGATTGAGGTTTTAATTTCCTGTATATCACTTTGAGCCTGTTTCGTACATTCTATTTCTTTCCTAAATTGTTTATTCAGGGGTTCCATCATTTTTATATTCTCTTCTATTTTTTAATCAGTGTAGTCTTTAGAAGCATTTAGTACTTCTTTGATTATAGTTACCACTACATTTTTTAGTTCCAAAATTATTTCTGATCTGATTTCTTCTATACCTTTCTGCAGTTGATTCTTTACTGTCAACACTATTATTTCAGCGATATCTGGTGTATGATTTCCAGTTTCCTCAGTGCTAGTGTCTTCTGCATTTGTACTGGGTGGACTCGGGGCCTGAGATTGCATTTTGTTCCTTCTCTTTGTCATTTTGTATACCACTGTCTTCTGACATTTGGTGTAGAGCTTAGATAGAGCTACTACCTTAGCACCAGGTCCGGATCTATGAAGTTCAGATTCCTCCAGGTGGGTGTTGTTTGGATCTGGCTGCTGTGCTCCACTTCTGTCTGCTGCTTTAGAGTTGAACCTTTTGTGTCACTCTGGCAAGATGTTCTGCTCCTGAATCAGCTGGGTAGGTCTTGCCTCTAGCCTCTTTGCAGGGAGTTCTGCTGAAGGGTTCCTCGCTGGGCCTGCACTCTGGGTTGGATGAAGATCTGTGGGCCCTGGGTGGTCTCACTCACTCACAGTGCCTGGTCTCTGGTTCTATTCAGGATCTGGTGGGCCCAGGTCTTCTCACTCACTCGCCACCCTGCTCTCTGGGTTTATTCAGGATCCCGCGGCCCTGGGTTGTCTCACTCACTAGCCGGGCCTGCGCTCTGGGTCTATCGGTGCATGTTCTTTTCAACCTATGTCTCTGAGAATGTCATGATAATACTTAAAGTTCACTTTAAAAAAAAGAAACACATTCTAAAAGGGAACAGACAGAAACAAATGGAACTTTTGATAATTGTATAAGGGGTACTAGAATTCACATTTTGTGCAAATGAATAGCTGGTGGATGATGATGAGTTTTTTTTCTATAGACTTGTTAGCCATGTCTGCTTTGGTATTAAGGAATTTTCTAGCAAATCTTTCCAGTGTTGGCACTTTCTCTAATACAATCTCAAGGACAGCATCAGCTATCAATATACTTAAGTTCTACAAGGTTGCTTCAGGTGAGTAAATAGGACTGCATAGCAATCTCTGATGGTGCTCTAGAGACCTTGTGCTTGTAAGAATTTGAGTTCTTCTTTGTCCTGAAGTTATAAGTAGCCAGTTGTCTTCCTACAAGTGTTCACCTGTGGGTTGCTCAACATCAGCCGTGCAAAACCAATACTCCTGGTACCTTAGGAGTCATGGACACTATGTCTCATTCTCTTTGCATAATTAACTGTTCCACATCCTCTTCTGTTTGGAATCTTCAGAGTGGAAATGGGAGGTAAAGGAGATTCATGGCACATGCTAGAGAAAGAACTCACAGATGAAGTAAATGGCACAGGTGTTGTAAGAGAGGAAAACACATGTCTCCACTCTGAATTTTCAGAGAACCAGGAGAAAAATAGGAGTAGTTGGTAATGGAGGCCATTGACACCCTGTGCAGGTCTTTGAGCATGATCTTGTGACTCAAGTTCTCCGGTAAGTAAACATCTATAGACGAAAAAAGCAACTAGTTCCATGGTCAGAATATTTACAGGAACCTTGCCTATGCTTACCTAGGCACACAACTTTTGGTAAAATTCATATTTGTAAGCTCAGCTAATTTTTCCAAAATCTTGACTGGTGTTATTATACCCCTAGCACACACTTAGAAGTCTTCAATAGGTTGCCCTATGTGGCAGCATCAAGATGGGAATTCAGGTCCTGAGGTACCAAAGACCTTCGACCCTTAGTAGAAAAACGTCCCCTGTACAGCTACTTCCAGGTTCCACCATCATAAAGATCCTGCCACTCATGCCGCTCGCCCTGCTGCAGAGCAGCGCAGCAATGGCCAAAGCCCTTTCCCTCTACCAGGTTATGTGTGTTGGAGACGAGGGCTGGTTACATGGTAGCCACACATATCACAGAGCCAGAATTGGTCTCTGAAGTCACATGTCTCTGTACAGGACAGGCACAACCTGCAAAAGCTATGGGCAGGAAACCCCGAGGCTCCTTCCTTATCCAGCCCCAACAGAAGATCAAGTTGATTGCCAAAGGAAAGAATGTGCCAGGCTCCAGCCTTGTGGTTTGGTTTATAAAGGACCACAGGTTCCCAGTGCTAGACCACCAACTCTGACTACCATGGCGAGGCCCTTCTCTCTTCAACAGCATCCCAGAAAGTAGTCTATAATATTCATTCTTACAGATCAAATAGAGCTTGCTTCTAGGTACATCAGGTCTAAGTTACCACACTCCTGGGACACTGATTTCCTCTCTCTCTCTCTCTCTCTCTATATATATATATATATATATATACACATATATATGTATATATAAATATAAATTATATGCATAATAATATATGATTCAGTATTGTATTGTATAATATAATATTTTAAATATAGATATACAATATATTATTATAAATATACTAATATTTATAAATATTAATTTACTAATATTATATATACCATGTATCAACGAGAGGTTATGTATTGTTCTAGAGATGCTGCATCTAAGTTCCACAGACAGGGTGTTTCACTGCTCTGAAAGCTGAAGTCCTGAGATCCAGCTGTGGGTAGGTCGGCTGCTCTGAGGCCTCTCTCCAGCTCACAGGTGGCAACCTTCCAGCTGCGTGTTCACGTGGTCTTCCCTCCGTGGCTGTCTGCATCTGTCTTAGTTACTTTTCTCATTACTGAGACTAAACACCTGACATCCAAAGTTAAGGGAGAAAATGTTTATTTGGCTAGCAGTTCGTGGGGGTCTCAGTTGGCTCGCTCCACAGCTAGGTGGGCTGGCAGAGGGGCGTCACAGAGGAGAAACAGGTTATAGGGGCAACCGACAGCAAGGCAATAAAGGAACAAAGCAGCAGCAAGTGACAAGTGGTGACAGCAGCTCTCTTTCTGTCCCTTGTATCTCCCAGGCTACCTGCCCTAGGGCCACATTGCAATTACACCCAATGTGGGGCACCCATAGTCCTAGTATTCACACCATGAATCAATCCCCAGTATGTTATACCTTTAATCTCAACGTCACATTCTAGATCCAGCTACCTCCAAAAGACCCTACCTATGACCACACGAGGCTTTGGAAGGACATCTAGACACAAGCAACACCAGCCTCCTCACCTCTGTCTTCCATATCTTTCACCAATCACATTAGATTAAGGCCTGCCTGTATCACTTTATTTTATCTTAATTGGCTCTTTACATAACCTATCTACAAACACAGTCACATTTTGAGGTATTGAGGATTTCCATCTTTACTATATGAATCCTGGGAGATACTGTGACACCCAAATAGTAACCACACATGCATGTAATTCCCAAGAAGCACTTAGTGTTATTTGGCAGTTTACCTCTCCATTTGTCTGACATATGGGAGGTAAGGAATTACCCTTGCCTGAGGCCACTTGTGTCTTAGGCATTTTCTAGTCCTTGCAGTACCCTAAGTTGCAGTACCCTATCCACAACTTACAGCTGGGCAGTTTCAGTTCACAGCTGCAATCTATGATCATGTAGCTCCTGGGCAGAAAGGGCACAGAGGAAAGGGCTGGAGGAAGCTGCTCACCTCAGGGGGGCAGGGAGCAGGGGATAGAGAATCAAGGGAGAGAAATGTGCTCTTCCAAGTCACACACACTTCCAAATCACTAACCCTGTGACTTCAGACCCTTCTTCTTCCACCTGGGCCCCACTGCCTGACTGCACCCTTAGGTATGGATTCATTGTTGGCCTAATCACGCATGAGAATGCTGCCCTCAGGAGCTCATCACTTCCCACACATAGGAGAATTTAGGGAGAGAGATTTTAGACCTAAACCATAGCACCCTGTATTGGGAGAAAATATATTTTACTATCTGAGCCAGGACACATTCCATAGTAAAAGAGGAAGTAGGAAAATAGGAATAAACTAGGAACATCTCCAGATAAAAGAAGACCTAAGGTCTCCATTTCCGAACATCGAGAGCCATGGATTTCTGAAGACGTCCACATGCGGCTGTGCTCCTTAGAGGTGTGGACTGTGTTCACATGCTCCCTGTGTCTCTAGAGGAAAAGAGTGATGGAGGCCCAGGCAGACCACCCTCCCTTCCAGTTGGTAGGTCCAGCCAGTGGGCTGTGCATAGCTGTGCTCTAATTCTGAGGCTCACTTTCTTTGTGATGAAGAAAGTGAGCTTGTCCTATTTACTTTCCTCAACCCTAGGACAAAATAGGTGATGGCCACAACTTAAAAGAAGAATGGTCAATCTTGGCTCACATTTTGTAGAGGTTCATTCCAATCCATCCATTGCCTCCAAGACAGGGCAACTTGGCACAGGGGCCTGGTAGAGGAGAGGGGCCCCTGGCACGACGGACAGAAATGACAGTGAATCAGTGCAAGAGCCAGGAGGGCAGATACACCATAGGTCATGCCCACGGTAACCCTTTTCCAAATAAACTCCACCTTTTGGTAGCAAGTCAGCCAAAGTGCCCCTATAATTCAATCACCTGCGAGTTCTCCCGTATAACCCCATGAGGCTTTAGGGGGATGCTGATATATAAACCATAACAGAGTTCACAAGACTTCAATATGCTGAGTTCAGCCTCTCACAGAAAGTAAAAGCATTGCTCCTTTTAGGAGAATTTGCACCTGCTGGAAGGCAATTCCAGCCTCACGGAGCATATGGAGATGACTGGGGACATTTGTATTCTAGTGATGCCTGGTAGGGAGGCAGTGATGTGCCTACTGAGTGGGAGGAGATGATACTAAACCTCTTCACATCCTGGATGACTCAGACTGGGCCTGCTCATACTGCCCAGGGCACCTCAGGCGAACCTAAGCTCATAAATGCAGAGCATCAAATTATGGACTGTAAACGGTGGAAAAGCTGACTGGAAAATTTCTATGAGCAGGGGTACTGCCACTAGCTAGCATGAGTCCTTGCATTAGTAGAAATGGAAATCGGAGTTAAACAAATACCCTGGGCATGGTGGAATGTGCCTATGATCCTTGCAGTCTGGATGCTGAGGCAGAAGAATCAGATACTCAAGCCAGGCCTGGGCAGCTTAGCAACTTAGCTAGACTTTGTTTCAAAAATAAAACATAAAAAGGGTTTTGGATGCAGCTCAGTGTGAAGACCTTGGGTTCAATACCCAGCAACATGCACACAAGCATGCACTTTAAAGCAACAGTCTAATTTATAGGCTGAAACTTTAATTAGAAAGGGAGAAAAAATCTCCAGCTTGAGTAGCACCTAGGGAAGGCATAGGTGATGAAGAGTATCAGACCAGGCCACCCAGACCTGTTTTTAATGTTTAGCTGAGGTGAGCCATGGTCCAGGCAATCCTATCTCAGAGCTGCTTTCAGGGGTCTGGAGGAACCCTTATGGCTACAGTGGTCATCCCATTCTCATGAAGTTATTGCCTGTTTGTGGTGGGTTCAAACCTTTTGGCCTCCATTTTTCTGGGTCCAAGGCAACAACAGCGGAGGACAATGGCTGGAGACTCTGGGCATCGATCCAGAAGGGAAGGGTCTGGCACCAGGTGTTGTACATGCTCTAAGTCAGATGGTCTTTGTTCTTTTATCTATTTAGTGTAGAGTGTCACACTGCAGCTTGGACTCATTATGATCCTTCTGTGTTCAACCTCCCCAGTGCTGGGATTAGAGGTGTGTACCACCACACCTGGTGCAAGCTGGTCTCAGCACATCCCAGGATAGGGTTGGTGTGGCATGTGGTACCAAGGATCGAACCTCAGTCCCTGTGCTTACCTAAACAGATATTTAGTCCTCTGAGCTATCTCACCAGCCCTCCAGATAGTTCTTCTCTTGGTATCATTGGCCTGGAAGGGAGATGAGACAGGCTAGGTAAATTTAGGGCTAAGAAACTTCATTCTGCCAACTTTTTAAAATGAGTATCATGTAAGCCCAAGCAAAGAATCACAGATCTTAGCAAAACCTGCTTTAAAGTCTCTGACTGCCTCAAAAAAAAAATACCCAACATGTGCGGGAAGGAACCAGAAGCTCGTCCTTTGCCCCTATAATGGTCTCTCACCACAATGAAACCTTAGGGTGGTAACTTGGCCTTTCCACGTATTCTGGTCCTATGTAAGCCAAAACCTATCCTTCTCCTTAGCCTATTCTTGCCCCCAGAAAACAGCAAGTCTAAATTAAAATTTAAGCCTTGTGTGAAATCTCAGCTCTGCTGCCTTGTGTTTGTGTGGCTCAGGGCCATTTAGCTACATGCTTTGAGTCTCATTTTCTGTAGAATAAGGTAGATCAGCACTCATTACTTTTGTCAGAGGGTTTTTCCCACCCCACAGTGTGACATTTAGAAAATGCTTTGCAAACTGAAAATTCTGTACCTCAGTCAGTCATCACCAGAATGAGCAGATGCATCCACATGGGAGAAATCCTGCCCAAAGTGAAGTGGCTTGGTCTTTTCCTGTGCTTTACTGGGACACCAGGGAAGAAAGAGAGAGAAGGGGCCCATTCCTGGCAATTGTGCTCTGCTCCCCTGATATCCCACATGCTCTTGATTCTCATCACAAATGGGAGCCCACAGAGTAGATTTAACACAGTGAGTTTGTCCAACTGTCCTCCCATCACCTAGTCCTTGTAAGGAAGGCCCCCATTCTTGCCTTTCCTCCAAAATTGCTTCCTATCTTTGCCCACAAGGTCCTGGGGAGTCCCATCTAATTGCATGCAAAGTGTTATAAACCCCTTGGAGCACATACAATTCTAATCTATTTTATTCCTTGTTAATTTCCCACCCCTTTTCATTTATAACTTGCTCCCCTTTCTCCATAATACTTCCTTTTCCCTGATGGATTTGTAAATTCTCTTTCTTCTTCCTTCCCACCCCCTTGAATGTTAACTAATCCCCAATCTCCAGTGAGGTCCTTTGCCAGTCTCCCTTTAAATATTCCTGGGAGCCCCGGTGCTTCCTCAGGGAGGAGCTGAGGAGATCTGGAGACAGTGAGTGCGGCCTGAGCCCAGCTCTGACCAGCTCTCTAGCCCTATTGTTCTCACCTCAAGATCTATCTGTGTCCACAAGTTTCTTTGTGACTGAATTTCATTGCCAGTAAAATGGGACCCCAGGTACCCTCCCAAGAGCAGTTAGTTAGTGGTGACCTTTTGTCCTTCCTCCAACCCTCCTGGATTATGCCTGGTAGCCCCATCCTCTTGGGTGGTGGGCATCAATTTACAATCTCTGCATTCAAGAGGAAGACATATCAGATGTCTTACTGTTTGTAAATGAAATTAAATATAACAGTAGACTGTCTCTTACTAGAACATTGAGAAGTTAAATCACAGTCACGCTCATACTCTCCACTGATGGACAATTTAGAGGTGTCAGGAGTTGTACCTGAACTCAAGATACAAGGATGGCCCCCAAGTCTTTGGTCCACAATTGTCAGCAACAGAGAACCAAAATGTGGAAACTCAAGTTTTTACTCACAGGACCCACAGAGTAAATCCCCTCTGGGTAACTGCTCACCCAAAAGACATTCAAAGAAGGAGGCCACCCTTTGGAGGGGACATTCTCCCTTCCTGAGTCAGATTTTCCACCTCTAGCCATTGCTCCAAATACCCACATCTCCCTACCTCTGGACTGCATAATCCCTGGACCACATGATGTGGTTTAAAAAATCTGTAGCAACAGGTTGCCTACCTTGAATAGGTGGAGAAAAGTCTGTTTCATGAAGCAAACTTGGTACAGCATCTCTTTTGCACATTCCATAAAAATAAATCCAGTAACAGATTCAAGCAATGCTACCTGACCTCCAGCTCTGCCTTCAAGGTTCTCTTCTCCTTTCCACTCCAGCTCACTGCGACCCAGGCATAAGCCCACTGTGGGAAAGAGTTTCTGCTCAACACCCTTCCACTTCTGGCTTCTCCAAGTTCCCTGTCCCAGGTGGAGGCAAATACGGACACCGTCTTGACAGACAGCCCTGCAGTGCTGGCCTTCTGTGTGCTCTAGCCCTAAACACTGCACCTACAGACAGCCCATCTATTCTCTTCCTTGGGCTACTGACAATCTCACACTTTGATTCTGTTCTACTCTATGTTGCGGTCATCTTGAAATCTCAGGATGGGTCCATGTCTGGCTGTCACATACTTGCCCTCTTCCAAAGCCTGGCTGAGCAGGCCACTACCACACACATCCTCACCTCAGGCTGCATCAGCCAGCTCTTTATGGAAAGTTTCACTCCTACCTCTCAAGCCCATTCTGAGCTCACCTACCCTCAAACTCCTAGAAACATATGGTAGCTTCTCCCAACTATAACTGTTGAGATTCAGCCTTATTTTCTTACCTCTTTTACCACTAAATAAATTCTTACTCTAAGACTGTTCAAATCTCCTTCCCAGCTTAATCATTTTTCTAACTTTTATTTACTTATTTTTTTTTAGTACACAGGTACGTAGTACACAGTGAGTGCAGTCCTTGTGGGGAGCTGGCACACGTATATAGCTCATCTCAATTCTTTTTATGTCCCTCTCCCTCTCTTCCCCCATCTCTTGGTCCCCTTCCTATTTACAAAAGCCCTCAGCTTTGTGACCTCACATCAGGCAGGGCTGCCTGTAGTACCCTGTGACCAGTGTAGGCTGCAATGTTAGACAGTGATGAGCGCAAGTGATGGCCGTGTGTAAACTCGCATACTGGGAGCAAGCATATAGGTTCACTGAAGAGATGGCTTTGGAGCCAAGATGGAGCAGTTTGGGAGCCCTAGAAGTGCCTGGGGAAGAGCATCCCAGACAGAGAGGAGAGCAGGGGGCTTCCTGCATAGAAGGAGCAGGGTAAGTAGCCAGGCCAGGCAGACAGAGCGAGCAAGGTGTCCCAAGCAAGTAGTGTGGCTGCTCCTCTAACTGAGGAAAAATCCTGCAGGGTTTGGGCCAGAAGCACAGCTCCATCCAGCTGGAGCATTAAAAGGCCAGCAGCCTTTGTGTGGGAGGAAATCTCCTGGATGGGAGTGGAGGCCAGGAACAGGGCCCAACAAGAACAATGACAGGGACGCGAGAAAGTGGCCATGTTGGAGAGGTGTTCTGACAACTCCGGCAGCAAGATGTCCTGATGGACTGCAACACAGACAGGTTGTGAGTGAAAGAGGTTTTAAAGGAAGATTTCTGAATTTCTGAGCAGTTCCAACTAGGACTGTACCTCCCCTGGGGGTGATGATGGCATCCTGGCGGACTGGAGCCCTTCATGAGGGACCTGAGCCGGATTTGCAGCTCTACCTGGTGCTTGACCACAGAGGCTGGATGTACACTTGACCAGGTGAAGTAACACTTACAACATTTACAAAGTAACACTTACAAAGCAGGTTTTCATCGCAGAGTCCGAAGGCTACTGTCCTAGACAAAGGGCCAATGGTATGGACAGCTTAGTTCCTCCTCATTTATGTATGGATCTGCACTTATGAAAGACAAAAACAACTTGGCAGCACAAAGATGGAAAAAGAATTAAAGGAAATGTCTAACACATGTGATGAAGTTCATTGAGTAGTCAACTAATTCAATCCAAGCTTCATTTTTGATCATCAAATTTCCTGTCAGTATTACAAGGAAAAATGGTCAGTGTAGTCTCGAGTTGGTGCCTAGAACCTAGTTTCCTGGCAGCTCCCCTTGCTGCCTGCATTGTTGGAGGTTCCTGGTCTTAGCAACATCCTGGTGGGATACAGATGTGTGTGTGTGTGTGTGTGTGTGTGTGTGTGTGTGTGTAGACATGTGTGTATGTGCTTGTGTACATGTGTGTGTGTTTCATGTATGAGTTTTTAGTTGTAAACTTATTTCTTTAGCATAAAATATTTCCTTCTGGAACCTATACGTGTCAGTGAAAAGACTGCAAACTCTAAATGACCTCAGGACTTAGGCACATAACAGCTTTGTAGAGCGTCTGAGTGTGCAAGGAGTTCTGAGCACTCTGAAGAACAGCAGGGGCCACCATGCCTACACAAAGCATTCCAACTAGGGAGAGTGGAAGGATAACACAGCGCCATAAGACACCTTTGCCCACATTGTCCCTCTGACCACGCAAAACTATGCTCTCTCTTAACATTCAACCCTATAATTCTTCTCAGTTAAAACCAGACCCTAAACCTAATAAATCCAGCAAAAATAGATAAATAAATAAGATAGAGGGAAGGAGAGAGAGAGGAGGAGGAAAGCAGGGAAGGAGGGAAAGAGGGAAGCCAAAATGAAGAGGAGGAGGAGGAGGAGGTAATTCTCCCTTGGCTTTTTCAGCAAGGGCACTGCATATTGCTATTATCCTTTTCATAAATACTTTTTCATAATTCTGCTACATTGTATCACTACTTTATTACGGCTTATACATAAATTTTTTACCAAAAATATTTTAAAAGGGCGCTTTTTATTTTTCATTTAGAGACCTTTAAACATTTAATAGTTTTAAACTTTCAAAGCTGGTATTTTTCCTCTTTCACTTAAATAGTCCTTAATACTTTGCAAAGTGTTCCTATACACTGACCAGTCAGTATGTGCTAGGTTACACTGCAACAATAAACAACTCCAAAATGTGTAAAATCCAATGCAATAAAATGCTTATTCATAGTATATATCTAGCATGAGTCTGTATATTGCAGACAGCAGAGTCAGATAAAAGTACTATAGGCAGTCAGACAGGGCCAGGCCCTTGAAGAAGATAACACAGAAGACAAGATACCTTACCACTGTGGAAGGGATGGATGTTCCTGCTGTGAAACAGACCTAAAGACCAAAGAGCAAACAAATGCTGACCTGCCTAAAGATTAGCATCTGGGATTGGTCTTCACCCTGAGAAAGTCAGGAAGAATCATTATCTGATGGCTACCAGATAAAGTCCTATATGTGACTCACTTCCCCATTTGGTCCCA